AAAAAATGGGCAAAATTAACCAGAATTTACTTTTTCAGAACTCTGGAAATTAACCAAAGGATTACATTACTACACTTAACTTGTATTCAAGAAAAATAGCCGACTCTTGATAAGAACAGTGACTTTATTGCTCAAAGCTGCTTTCCTGGAGGCATTAATTGAAAAACTTTTACAGGCTAATATCATAGCTATGGCTGCCTCAACAGAGTGACTTTTGCAATGCTTTAACTTACTCCACTCCTATTCCTTGTTCTACAGCTCAGCACTATCTGTAAAAATAACAGCCACATTCTTGATACTGAAGGGAGCAGAATGAACTAATTTGCAAAGTATTGTAATTATTTGTTCTGACCTGTTTGGCAGTTTCCTGGAAGATGGTTCAAAAGACTTGTCTTTATTTTGCCTAACTCAAAACCGGCCTATTGCTCCAAGCTGCTTTCCTGGAGGCATTAATTGAAAAACTCTTACAGGCTAATATCATAGCTATGGCTGCCTCAACCGACAGAAAACAGTTGGCCATACAATAGATTAACCAAAAAATTTGGGAAGAAAAGCTGAAAAATAAGATGCTCTGACATTCCTGAGAATCTAGACCATGTGGGCATGCCCAGAAGAGAATTGAGAAGAACCTAAGTTCTCGCCTGCTGCTGACCTTAAGGCTCTTTGGAAGCTGAAAGTAAAGGCTAAGGTAGAGTTGTCTGAGCGTGGAAGGCAAGCTCCAACACATATACTGAGCTCATAGCAAAGAATGGAAGAATTTTTGGCTTCAGGCATTTAAGGAAATCTCTGTCCAGTTATTAGCTGATCAGTAAGCAAATGGAAGAAACCTCAATGGGCAAACAAGACAAAAAATAGAGCTTATAAAATAAGTTCAGAGAAGTCACTAAACAAACATGTACAGTAAGACTGATATAAAAACAAATTCAGGAAAGGGAGAGAATCTGATATCCAGAGTTACCGATTTATAATATTCACAATATCCAGACTTCAACAACAACAGCAATAATTACAAGGCCTGCAATAAAACAATATAGTATGACCCATAGAGGAAAAAGGAAATAAATAGAAACTGCCTGAGAAAAGCCAGACAATAGACTTTAGACAAAAGCTTTAAATCAGTTATTTAAAATATGTTCAACAAACTAAAGAAAACCATATCTATAAAGAACTAAAGGAAGGTATGGGAACAATGTATCACCTACCTAACTTGTAATATCAATAAACAAATTATTAAAAGAACAAAACAGAACTTCTGAGGTTGAAAAGTGCAATAATAAATGAAAAACTCACTAGAAGGGCTCAACAGTAGATATGAACAGGCGAACCAAAGAATCGGCAAACACAGATCCATTGAGATTATCTGGCTTGAGGAACATAAAGAGAATGAAGAAATGTAAACAAAGCCTCAGAGGCCTGTGGGATACCATCAAGTGATCAACATATACATAATAGAAAAGACAGAAGCAGGGAGAGAGGAGGAGGATGTAGGCTGGTGGTAGTTGAAAGGGGGAGGGCAGAGAATATTTGAATAATAATGGTCAAAACTTCTAAACTTTGAAGGTTAATGAACTCCAAAAGGATAAACTCAGAGAGATCCACACCTACATATATCATAATCAAACTGTCAAAAGCTAAAGGTGAAGACAGAAAACCTTAATGACAGGAAAGGAGGAGCGACTCATCATTTATTTACAAGGGACCCTCAGTAAGAGTAACATCTGATTTCTAATCAGAGATAGTGGAGGCCAGAAGGTAGTGGATGGCATATTCAAAGTACAGAAAAAAAAAAAGTCAACCAAGAATTATTTGGCAAAACTATCCATCAGAAATGATGAAATTAAGACTTTCTCAGATAAACAAAAAGTGAGTCTGTCACTAGCAAACCAGCCCTATCAGTGCTAATGGGAATTCTTCAGAATGCAATGAAGGGACATTAGAAAGCAACTCAATGGCATATGAAGAAAAAAACATCAGGAAAGGTAACTAAATAAATATAAAAGCATAAAGGTATTTTTGTTTGTAACTCCTTTTCTTTCGTAATCTCATTAAAAGACAATTGCATAAAGCAATAATCATAAATGTAGGTTGACAGGTACATCATATAAAAGATTTAATCCATGACAGTAAGAGATTACATGGGGAAAAGTTTTTGTATACTATTGAAATTAAACCGGCATAAATCCTAACTAGATTGTTATAATTAAGATGTTAATTGTAATCCATAGAGAAACCACAAAACATCTGTCTGCACAAAGGCTTGGATGTGAATGCTCACAGCATCTTTATCACAGCCCCAAAGTGAATCAGACCAAATGTCCATCAGCTGATGAATGGATAAACAGTACGCGATATATCCATACAATGACATATTATTCAGCCATAAGAAGATATGAAGTACCATTAAATACTACAACATGGATGAACTTTGAAAATGTTATGCCATGCCAAACACAAAAAGCCACATATTGTACAATTCTAATTATGTGAAATGTCTAGAATGGGCAAATCACAGAGATAGAAAATAGGTTAGTGGTTGCCAGGGAAGAAGAGAGCAAAGAATTGGAGCTAACTGCTAACAGGTAGAGAGCCATTTATTTTTGGTGTGATAAAAATGTTCTTTAATTAGATAGTGGTGATAGTTATCCAACATAGTGAGTAGATTAAAACCACTGAAGTATGTACTTCTAAGTGGTGAATTTCATGTTATATGAAGTCTCTCAGTTAAACATGCTACAAAAAGCCTACTGATACATCATATTTAACAGTGATATAAGTTTAATATGTAATTTTAATGATGAAAGAAAAAAATTTAATGATGCTTTTTTTTGAGACTGGAAATGAAACAGGGACACTTATCATCACTCCTGGTCTACATGGATTGGAAAAGTACAAAAGAGAAAAAAAACAATATTTAGAGAAACTATTAGAATTTAAAAAATTAGCAAGATTGCTAGATACAAGGTTATTATACAAAAATCAATTGTATTTCTATATACCAAATATAGTTAGAAAGTTGAAATTTAAGAAACAATATCATATACAATGTCATCTAAAAACACTAAATACCCAAGAATAAATCTAAGATATGCAGTATGTCTGTACAAAAAGCTGCAACAGATTATCAAAAAAATGTTTTTGAATTGATTTATTCATGGGTTGCCATGAAGTCAATGCCATATGGATGCCAGTTCTTCCACAATTGCTCTACATATCAAATGTAATCCCAATTGAAGAGCTCAGTTTAATAATTTGTAGAAAATGACAAGAAGGTTTTAAAATTTACATAAAAATGGAAAATGACAATTTTATAGAAGGAAAACAAAGCTGGAAAACTACTGTACCAGATGCCTATTATGAAGCTACAGTAATTAGGACTGTGGTGTCAGCACAAGGATGGACAAGTAGATTAGTAGCACATGTAAGAAAGTCTGGAAACAGATCCACACAATTCTGGACACTTTTTGTATGATAAAAGTGGTATGTGTAGAGCTGTAGGAAGCAGTCTTTTCATTAATTGGTATTGGGCCTTTGATTTGGAAAACTTTTGAAAAAAAGTAAACTCAATCATCACTTCACACCAAACACAAAAATCAACTCCAGGAGATTACCGATCTTAAATGTAAAAAGTAGAGTATTAAAGCTTCTAGAAAGACTTGCAATTGTCTTTATGACTTTGTGGTAGGAAAATATTTCTTAAACACAACACACACAAAAAAACCACCAAATAAAAGAAAGGAAAAAATTGATGATTAAAATTAGTAACTCTAGTCATCAAAAGACCCCTTTAAAAGAGTGAAGAGGCAAACCAATGGGAAGAAATATATGCAAGACTAATTTCTGAAATATGTAAAGAACTCTTTACAAACCAGTATGAAAAAACACAAGCAACCCAACATAAAGTCTTAAAAAGGCACTTCATATAGGAGATCAATGTCCAATTAACATAAAGTGTTCAATCTTATTCATCAAAGGATATGTAAATTAAAACATAATTAGATATCACTACATACCTACCAGAATGATTAAAATATAAAAGACTTGACCAAGTGTTGGCAAGGATGTAAAGTAACTGGAATTTTCCTATCCTG